TAACAGTGATCCTCCTACCCGAGTCTCCTGATGAAAGTGCAAAGAACAACTTGTCCACTGTGTCCCGATACCTTTTTGAACTTGCTACAAAAATCTGACAGGACCGTAAAATTTATACTTGACACATTTGAAGAAAAGACATATCAAGGACGGAAATAATGATAATAGTTGTCCATAGTCCATGTTTAAACCTTAAAAGCACTGAATGGCAAAGCAGTCTCTTCCTAGGAGATGATGCTCTGGTCTTTGGTGAATGCAGCCAAGTGGCCTCATATGTCCCTTCCATCATCCTGGCAATTTCCTGCCGTTTCTTCTTTTGTATACCAGTGGCTTCTGTGTACATCACAAAACATCTTCAACTATTTAGTAGAGAATTACAAAGCAGCTAAGGTTTTTTTTTGCTATTTTTTTGCACATTGTCCATTTTGTAAAAGACATAAAATAGAATTTACCCTGTTCTCCTTAAAAGATTACTGGGGCTGAGGACCACTTGGTAGACTGATTATGTGGCATTCATGAATGAAGTCCTGGATTTGATCATCAGGACCATGTAAAGGGGTTTATAAGGCTGTACCTATAATTCCAGCAGTGGGCAGACAGAGAAGAGGATCATAAATTCAAGTCACCTTACCCTACCTACACAGTGAGTTTAAGGACATGCTTGAATATTTGAGATTCTGTCTCCAAACAAGCAACCAAAGGTGTCAACAATCTCTAGCAGACTGCTAGTGCTTCACACATGCTTTCAGTGTCCCACTCTCTGTTCTGCACAAAAGAAATGAAATAGTAGAACTGTTTCCTGAACTTATAATTCCTTCTACATTCCCTGTACACTTAAAGTTCTTGACCATTTCCTGTTTTCACAGACTGCTTGCAGGAACGATCTCAAGGACTAAACAGTCTTTACGACCCAGGTGTAAAAACTAATGCATACTACAGCTTCTCTTCCAACAATCTTCAACATGAAAACACAGGAACCCACAAGCATCTTTTCCTATTTCAAGTTACAGGAATTCTTTCTTCTTAACATTTTTCCTTTTTTTTTTTTAGAAATAGACATTTTTTTCTCCCATAATGAATCCTGATTTTAGTTTCCACTCCTTCTACTTCTCTCTATTCTTCCCTACTTCCTCTCCCATCAAGATCTAATCCCTTTCTCATGCTCATTAGAAAACAAGCAAGATACTAAGGAATGATAATTAAAATATAATTAATTTATTACAGTCTAAAGTTAAAACAAAAACTAACACATCAGAATTGGAAAAAAAAAACAACAAACAGAAAGGTGAAAAGAGAAGGCATGGGGAACAGGTTCACTCATTCACATATTCGTGAACCTCGTAAAAACACTAAACTCGAAGTTGTAGAAGCCACAATATATACACAAAGGATCTGGTGCAGATCTGTGAAGGCCCTCAATTTTCAAGAATTGTTAATTGTAAATATTGTAACTTTTCTAAGCCGACAGAAGTAACCATGAAGGTAAATTTTCCAATACTAAGAATGTCTGATTAAATTTCTAAGAGGTCCTCTTAAAGAAGAATTGGCTCGAGAAGCGCAGGGACGCATGGTTACATCGATCCTCTGACAGTATTTGTTTTTCTGTCACTCCCAGAGTGACCCTACACTTACCTTTGGAACTAATTTTACAGCCCTTGAGACACCTTTCCCCTCTAACAGCCATCTTCTGAGTCCTAGTGCTTGTCATTCTGCTTTTTCCGAGGTGAAATTGTTTTCCTCTCCTCAAGCACTTGATCTCTTTCCTAAACTCTCTTACCATTCCATGCAAAGTAGTCCTTGCCCTCTATGTGTGGATCCAATTTCACATAATTAGTGCTTATGAAGTACATCATTTGGAGCTATTTCTCCTTCCTCCTCTCAGGCTCAAACAAGTCTCACTGATCCACAAATCCACTCTTATTCTTTAGGTATACCTGAGAAGAAAGCAGGTGGCCTGTTTGTCTTCATTTGATCCAGAGTCCTTCATATTTTGGAGTTCTCTCCCAGAGAGGGATAAAGACATCTACACCTTTGTAAGAATCAGCCGGACTTCCTTACACAGAAGTAAGCCTCATCCCAAACAGCCATTCTCCAGGACAAAAGTCAGCGACAGTGACGTTTCCCAGCACATCTAATTCAGTCCAATGTTTTTTTCAAAATAGACCGGAAGGTCAGAATCAATTACCATGTCAGTATTGGCTGGTATTTCACCAATTAAGCACCTGGCTAGTTTTACGTTATGAAAAATTGCTACTCTAGAATTATTTGCATTTCTTTATATAAAGCACACCATTAGAAAAGTATCTGCTGCGCAATCAAATCTTCCACTGACCCACGAAGAACATATCTGGGGAACACTGGTCAATGCTACGCGATCACCAGTGATCCGTACTTTCATGTGTAGAAACACTTCTTTCCTAGTCTTCTAGTTTTTCCGAGCTATGAGTGTGAAGCTTTCCATGACTTTTGTGCATTAAGTCTGTAGTGACTGGAAGCCAGAAAACATTTCAGAGCATCTACACAAAGCTCCTTCAGTTTCCACTCTGTTTTAAAAACCATTTCTGTGACCTTTAAGCAAAAAACTCTAATTTATTGTTTTAGAGTAATATGATCAAAAGATCATATTCTAGAAAGCCTAAAACATAAACATATTTCACTGTGGTATGAAATCAGATTTAGGCGTGGGAAGTAGATTTTGAAAATATACAGAAATAAATATTTCAACTGAAATTTGGTAAGAACTTTGCTTCCTCATATAACCAAAAAATGAGATATGAAATTCTAAAGGGGAAGTCTTATAGAATAAATTGGGAGATTTATTAATCTAAAGTTTAAAGGTTCAAAATTAAATTGTCCTTATCTTCTTAGTTATAGGCAAATAAGCTTCTTAACAGAAGCATTACAGATTAAATTATTATTTCAGATAGCATACACTTTCTCAGAGAGTTTACATTATTGTTTCACAGGTAACAGCTCATCAACTACAAAGACACAGCCAGTTACACTCCTCCTAAAGAAAAATAATTCTGCTCACCAGCTTCTAGAAGAGCTTGCTTGCCGTCTGAGCATTTTAAGATTTGCTTCAGGGAGACGGTTGAAGGAGGCACAGAAAGTAAACATACCAGACCCACAGCCCAGCAGCTGAGAACTCTGGGAGGAGACACAGGGTCTCAACCATTCATTTGTCCTCCCTGCTATCCTGACATCTGACAGCCACTGACATCGCTAGCATTCCAGCACTACAAACACAGGCCGGAGAGGAGATAAATATAGGACGCTGACACCTGAGCCAAATGAAACGAAAGCTAATGTGAAAAATCACCCTCATTTTGTGCCTCAGTTTTGGTAAATAAAACCCTTAATCCTCTTCCTGCTGAAACCTTTCTATGTCGCACAAGAAATAGTTGCTGAGCTTATAAAACACAGACATTCAAAATGACCCAGGATTACTGGTAGGTTTGCTTCTCATGATTCTCATTTGCTCTTAGAGATAGTCTTGGTTTTTTGTTTGTTTGTTTGTTTTGTTTTTTTTCCTGATTGAGCGTAAAACAGCAGTTCGCCATGGTTTAATCAACAAACAGGGTTTCGCTCCAGTCATGAGTGGAAGTTATTTCATATTACATATCATTCCCTAAAATGAGAATGTCTGTGGGTAAGCTTTCTTAGTATGTTTTCCCTTATTTCTACTTATAGTTTGGTCATTCTTGTTTAACTTAATTAATGAGTCAGACTGTACCACACATTACTGTGGTGTTTAGGTTTGAATTACTGTTATTTACAATCTCTTGGTGGTTTCCTGCGGTCAGTTTAAACTGAGTTTTGCTTAATACTGCTGGTAGGTACGTGAATCAAGCATGGCCTTCAATCTGAATGAATCCTGTGATTAAAGTCAAACTCTGCTAATATAGCGGCGTGTTTTTACCCACACATCACCAGTTTATTAAAGAAAATCCATTCATTAAGAATTTCTCCCTAGTTAAACAGAGAGGCCAGGAAAGACCAACAAAGTCAGGTAGTACAATGCTCTGTTTCTTTTCAGATGCTAAGTATTTTTCATTTAGTAACTATTCTAGCATGGTCTAGGAAGATACTAAGGGAAAGACAGGGCATAGAGTTCCATGTTTTATGGGAAACTCTCCAGCAACAAATAGTACCTAACATTTGTTTCCTTATCCTAAATGAGCCATTCCAATAACTTAACAGTTATAAGCCCATTCTACAGAAAATAAGCTATAAATATATAAATATTGATAGTGCTAAAAAGACATTCATCTAAGTGTCTAACCTATACAATTTTGACTGTATCATAATTACAGGTCAAACATTAATTTCACCTGCACTAGCCATTCTATTTGTATTAATTAATTTATTTCCTTACTTATTCTTGTTTAGGCATAGTTAGGAAAAGCATAGCCATGTCCCCCCGGGAGAAGTGCTCAGATATCAGGAACTCACCTGGTATGTATGTATAAAGCATCATATCTGAACAAACACAAAAAGACAGGCTGCAGTTTCCAATTGTAGGGCGTCTCTCTCATCTTTCATGTATGTGTCAAACTCCTGTCAGCTTGTGTAAGACTCTGACCTGGGATCCAGAAGGGCAGTTCTGATAACAGCACCCCAAGTGCAACCTGAGCTATGATAGGTGAAAGATGCGAGGGGTAACCAAGTGGTAATGACTGCAGATTTAGTTATTGTACAAAAATACATGTGCTGTAAGGCTCACAGTGACATTACATGTACATTTAAAGATTACAGTAACATGTTTGTAAAATATTGGATTTAGAAGAAATTGGTTTCTATTTGCTCACTATTAAGAATGGAGCCTGAAGGAAATCCATACTATTAAGATAAATGATGGAGGTGGATCTTGTATCTTATCTGTTGATTTCATTGGTTAATAATAAAGAAACTGCCTCGGCCCTCATAGGACAGAAAATTAGGTAGGCGGAGTAGACAGAGGAGAATGCTGGGAAAAAGAAGCTGAGTTGAAGAGTCGCCATGATTCTCCCGCTCCCGACAGATGCAGGTTAAGATCCTCCCTGGTAAGCCAGCTCGTGGGCTATGCAGAATATTAGAAATGGGTTAGAACAATATGTAAGAGCTAGCCAATAAGAAACTGGAACTAGCCGGGCCAGGCAGTGTTTGAAAGAATACAGTTTCCATGTAATTATTTCGGGCATAAGCTAGCCATGCGGGCGGCCGGGTGCCGGGGACGCAGTAGCAAGCTATATTAAGATTCTATACATATGAATGTATTATTTTATGTGATATATTAGATGCTAAGGCTTGTGCATCTGTTTTACTATTCCGTGAATGGACATCTACAAACAGATATCTTGTATTTGTTTACACAGGAATAAAATGTACTGAGGTATAAAAGCAAATAGGTATTAATGAGCAAACAATTAAGGAAGTATTTAAAAATAAGGGCCAGTAAAAACAGTGAACCATGAAGAGGAAAGAGGATGAAAGATGCAAGCATTAAAGGCAGAAGGAAAATCAGAACGGGAGAGAACAAGAAGGAGTAAGAAGAGATGACACGGGATCTGTAGGGATTATTCCTACCATAGGAACAAGAAGAAGGCTTGAAATAACTTGGGCATTTGAAGTACTCTGATAATGAAATCTGAGTTTCATTGAGAAAGCCTATAAGAGCAATAATGCTGAATACAGAGAGGAAAAAATGAATGGGAAAAAGCCTGAAAAGCAGCTACTCATGAATGGAGGGTAACTTGATAAAAAGTAGATTCAAGAATGGATTTTATTCTTTAAAAAATGAATTTTGAAGGCACGGTAGGGTTTTGCTTGTTCGATGACGTGAGAGAAAGTATGCGATTAATAACAAAGTCTTATATGGAATTGTAAAAAATCTCTTTAGGTAACCATGAACATATATTGAGCTATGGTGGCTAACACAGATCAAATGCTGAAATACTATTTTATGAATGAAAATGAGAATAAATGAACAAGCAAATAAACTGAATTTAGTCAGATAAGAACACAAGTGAACAGTAATGTTTAAACATGAGGTTATCAGTCCTTGGTGACTTCAGTTTTTCAACTGCAGACCAAGCCAACACCACATGAAAATGATTTGAGTAAAATTTTAATCTGTATTAAAAGTATACAGACATTTTCTTTTTATTATCTCTATAAATAATTTAGGAGTTTATATTTTGTTTGTACTAGAGTATTACAAGTAATCTAAAGAGAATTTGAAATACATGAGAGGATATTTATAGCCTATAAACAAATATTTTTAGCACAGGTCTTGGCTGTAGAATACTTAGCCATCAAATTAATAATTATAAATACATTAGTATACAATAAAATATATAATAAACTTATATACATGAATATGTATATATCCCTTGATCAGTACTGAGGAGGATTGTGGAACTGTTTAGTTTTGTTCTCATTGGAAGACTTCACAATACAATATAGCAAGATAAAAGGCACCTTTAAAGATAGAACCAAGAAGACAATTCTTGCAGTCCAAGAACCACAGGGAAGTCAAAAAACCCAGTACTTGAAAAACACCAAGAATAAATTTTTAAAAATGCTGCAAGAGCTTTACAAACATTTGAATGTGCATAGAGCGTGCAATCTAATGGAAACTTAGGTCCCCCTGGACTAAGAGCAAATAATATCCACAGGACATAAGGTCCCTCTTCTAGCAAAACAACAGGCTGGTAGCCAATTATGGTATCAGCCAAGCAGATGTCCCACTGGCTTTTAAATCAGACACAGGGCCTGGGTTTGTAACAATGATTGCTTTCATTCTGTAAGATCTTTCTGTTTATAAAATTATTTTGATGTGTTCAGGTAATTTATCAGAGCAATAATACAAAGCACTATTTTCTCTTTTATTTCAGAGAAACACAGGGAGGTGAAGTAGGACAGACTTAAAATTCACATTTAAGCTCTAGAATTGAGATGTGTAGCTGTTAACAGTGGGTTTTATATATTGCTCTTCTTGTAAAGTTCATTGCAGTTTCTTAGCTGTTCTTTCTCAGGCCACTCCTGGGACTTCTTTTTCCTTATGTGCATTCTAAATGCAGATGTCTCATCTATTAATTCCTAGGCTTACACTATCTTTTTCCTTATATTTTCTCTTCTTAACATTCTTTCTCACCTTCTATTTGTGTTTCTGAATTGATCCAAAGTTTATTTCTTAATCTAAAAAATTATATTCTATTTGTGAAAATTGTTGCTGAAAAATTTTATAGTCTGGTGCATTGCATATTATTTAATCTCTTGTGAAAATATGAATATGTACCATTTTCAAAATTAAGAAAAGAATCCAGGCATGGGAACACACAAATACAATTCAAGCATGAGTGAATGCAGTAAGCTTAAATTCAACTGGGGCTACAACCAAATGACTGTCTCAAAACAGAACAAAAATTAAGTGACTGATTTTATTGACTCAATATTCATTGGGGGCAGACTTGGACTAAATGCTCCAGATTCAGGCTAGAACTATTCAGCACTCTTCTGGATGACATTGCGTATTAGCCTATTCTCAAGAGTGTAAATAGTAACAGACTAAGTGTGGAAGAGAAGAAAGGGGAGCACATCCACTACCGGTGAGAGTGCAAACTAACATAGATATTATAGAAATCTATAACTTCTTTGAGGTTCTCCCAAAACTAAGAACAAATCTACAAACATCTAGGTCTCCCAGTCCTGGGCATATCACCAAAAGATCCACGTCCTACTACAGTAATACCTACTCACCTCAGCTGATTGCTCCTCTTTACAGTGATGCCTACAGCATCAGCCACTGTTCAGACATCTCTGTAATCTAGATTTTTAAATTTTCTGCTGCTGGCTGTGGAACAATCTTTATACACTGTAAAGATGTATTACTCTCATTGTTAATAAAAAGCTGATTGGCCTATGGCTAGGCAGGATAAGGTTAGGCGGGAAAACCAGACCAAGAGAATGCTGGGAAAGAGAAGGAGGAACGTTGGAGGAGATGCCATAAGATACAGAACAGGCAGAATGGGAATTACATACCGGATGTAGATAATCCTCAGAGCAGCATATAGATTAACAGAAGTGTTTAGTTTACGTTGTACGAGCTTTAGCTACAAAGAAGCTTAAACTATTGACTAAACATTTATAAATAACAAGTCTCTGTGCTGATGGGTCAGAAAAGTCGGCCTATAAATGATGCACAAATGTCCAACACCTATATCCACATGGAATCTGAGATAACTTACAAAAAGTTTTAAGCACGCAAAAACAGATTTAAATGCATCTTGACACTAGTGGTCAACAGAGGCACACACAGTTCATGACACTCTCAGAACGAGTTCAGTACAAATGTAGATCCTCAAAGCCTCAGAATGGATGACCCCTCTTCAGATGCTCACATCATCTCTCATGGTTTTCTGGCTTCCTGGTGAATGCTAGACCACATTCTGCCTCTGTCCTCTTCCTGGCACTTCTCACCTCTGTAACTTCCTCATGTGTTTGCTTCTTAGATTTTCTCCACCTCTTATTCGGCATCTCAACTCAAACATCTTATCTCCAAGGACCGTTGTATACCACAGCAATCTCACATCACCATCATCTTGATGCCTATCACCAAACAGCACAATGGTGCACAGCTGTAACGCTTGAGCTTTGGAAGTAGAGGGAAGATCACAAGCTCAAGCTCAACCTTATATGAGTTAGAGGCCAGTCGGGGATACTTGAGGGCTTATCCCAAAACAACTATAGCAAACAAATAATTGAAGAAACGTGTGTGTGCGTGCACACGTGTGCATGTGTGTGTGTGTGCATTTGTGTGTACATATACATACATAAAATGGATGGCTAACTCCTTAGTGGGGAAACGTACTGACAAATATCAAATGGCACTAGGAAATGGAGCAATTCTAGACAAATGAAGATTGTACACAGTGAGGTTGAAAGACAAACCAACTTCGAGGATTTAATGTGAATTCTTCTGTGTAAAAATATATCTTTATCTCCAACATTTCAACACAGCTTGCAGCTACATGTGTATCAAATACAGTTAAAACTGAACTGAACAGAGAAGGACATATAAACTTAGTGACATACAGCTAATCATGTTAGAAATGTTATTGCATTGAGTATTTTAACAACAGTAAGCTCCAGCATTAAACCTTTGTGCACCAAATAAATGTAGACAAAATTGTATTTGTCATTAACATTATGGAAATGTATAATTAATTCATAATAATCATGCACATGAAACTAGTCTTAATAGAGAACCAAATTTTTTTTATTTATTTATTAAAGATTTCTGTCTCTTCCCCACCGCCGCCTCCCCTTTCCCTCCCCCTCCCCCAATCAAGTCCCCCTCCCTCGTCAGCCCAAAGGGCAATCAGGGTTCCCTGCCCTGTGGGAAGTCCAAGGACCACCCACCTCCATCCAGGTCTAGTAAGGTGAGCATCCAAACTGCCTAGGCTCCCACAAAACCAATAGGTGCAGTAGGATCAAAAACCCATTGCTATTGTTCTTGAGTTCTCAGTAGTCCTCATTGTCCACTATGTTCAGCGAGTCCGGTTTTATCCCATGCTTTTTCAGACCCAGGCCAGCTGGCCTTGGTGAGTTCCCGATAGAACATCCCCATTGTCTCAGTGTGTGGGTGCACCCCTCGCGGTCCTGAGTTCCTTGCTTGTGCTCTCTCTCCTTCTGCTCCTGATTTGGACCTTGAGATTTCTGTCCGGTGCTCCAATGTGGGTCTCTGTCTCTGTCTCTTGTCTCCTTTCATCGCCTGATGAAGGTTAATGTTCAGGAGGATGCCTATTTGTTTTTTTAATCCAACAAAGGAGTAAAATGCTAAAATATTTTTGGACGAGTATATAGTAAAATTTTAATCATAATTGATTACTAAATATATACTGAAAAATAAACTGAAATTGAGCTTATTATATTAGCTATAAAACTATTTTTAATTAATGCTATTTTCCTTTTGTTTCATACTTAAAATTTTATATGGGTTTTGTACTCATAGTTCTTACTGCGAATTAGAAAAACATGTTGAAGTCCATGAAATACAAAA